TTGATCGCAGAAAATTCGTGATCGTGATCAAAAATATCAATCACGCAGTACACTAACCGGAAGATATCACATTTATCCTCACCTACTAATGACAATACTTCGCTGTATAAATCCGTCTGTTGTCGTCTTTCACATAAATAAAAAAACAAAATGGACACAAAACTGATATTTACGCTTATCAAACAGAAGAATATATTGAAAGATGCAAATACAACTGCCAATGCTGTCGTAGCAAATAATCGTTCAATAAAACTTTTCATTTTATTACCTTGCCAAGTATTATCAGTTATGTATGTTTTCTATTCGTTGGTATAGATATTATAAAGCGATCAGCAAAATTTATTAAGTCAATTGGAAATCATTTTATTATTGCATTACTAATAACAAGTTTCGTTCAAGTAACAACTGAATTATCAATGGTAGAAAATTATTTGCATATGAGTGTTGTGTGGCCGTCAACGAATAGTTATTGTCTATTTTTCAACTGGTACACATTTTCATTGAACGGTGTCAGTTTATTTGTTAGCAAGTTATTTTTATATATTTGTTTGAATTTTATTTTTGATTATTTATAAATGTTAGTGTGTTGGGCATCTATTGAACGGCATATTATTATATTTTCACAGTCAATCTTTCAAATTCGATGGAAACGTATTGCTTTTCACTATGTACCACTTAGTATAGCAATATTTTACACACCAACATGGTGCGTTGCTGTTATTTTTATTTATAATTATGTTAATGATTGGAATTTTTACGAATTATTGTGCACGACACCATGTTTTTATGGAAATAAAATTCTTGGTATTTGTAGATTGGCTGGCTAATACAATCATACCAATATCAACTGTTTCGATTGCTCTAGCAAATATTTTACTTCTCATCCGAGTTACATATCGTTCAACTCGAATAAGGCATAATGCTGAACGAACAAAAAATAATCTAATAATGACTATACAATTGCTTACAATTTCAGCACTTTTTCTTGTGTTTCGGTTACCAATTGCAGTTACAGGTTTAATTCAACAATTCTTCGATGCAACATTTATTATCGATATACAATTTAATATATTTTTCTATTTAATTTATCTTATTCAATTGTTTTTGTCGCTTGTTTGTTTAGTTTCTTTACCAGAATTGAAGAAAACAACAGACATGACAATAATTCGATACTGGAGACATCGAAATCCGATTAGTGATGTAGCAGCTTTTCACGTTGCATCGTTTATGCCTGTTATAAACAAATGATAATACAAACAGAAAGTATTCCGGTGTAATAAATAAACTCAAATAATATCTTATTAATTTCAATAAATGATGTTATTTGTATTTCTCTTATGTTGACGTAACAATTGCCATAACATATCGCTCATCATATCTTTTGTTGTTGTTTTGGTGAAAATTGTATAGTCGTTTTTGATATTCGCTTAAGTGTTGCTTTTCATTTATTGTACACCTACGTGTAGTTTTCTCTGTTAAGTATGAAGTTTATTATGCATTAATAGGTGACACTGATTTGAATGCCATCATAAGTGAAGAAAAAGAATTAAATTTTGACGGTTCTTCTCCTATTTTGTTGTAGTGACTATTAACTGTGTTTGGTTTTTCATATATATATGATATATAGATCTTCAATATTAAGTTATGAGACTTATTTGAAAAATAAAATACTTGAAAAGGATAGACTTGGTTGTTTTATGAATATTAAAAATTTTCTTATATAAATCTAAAACAATTGATTATGAGTCATTCATGACATATGAATTGGTTTCGATTTCTCTTCTGAGTTTCGTTTAGTTGCCTGCATCTGTCTTGTAAACTTTTTCGACGAATAACTTTCGATGTTTCAATATCGATCGAATTGTTGATGATTATTTGATTGTTTGGTACTAGAAGTTTTGATTGAAATTTTACAGACTTATGATGTTCCATAAATCTGAATGCTAAAGAATGTGAGTATGGTGAATTGTATCAGTAGCTAAAAAGTTAACGTAAATAATAATTATTAGCGCACTAGCTTATCTCTACAAAGAAATTTGTATTTATTAATTACACAGGAAAAGACAAGGACGAATACTCTTTATTAAGGTCAAAGCTAGAGACAAGAGTATAATATATACTAAGGAAAACGAGGAACCAAAACGTAAAGACCGTATTCCATCGTACATACGAATTTGAACTCGAGTGATAATCATAACATATAATTCATTTTAGTGAGTCGCATATTACTAACATTTCTTAAACAACACGGATGAATTATCATTGTTGAAATTAGCTGAATTCTATGTTGAATATAGTTACAATATACGTACGTGAAGAATAACTGTAAAAAACATCTGCAGTATCAATTGACTTGTCACAATAGATAAAATCTCAACCATCACGAAATTTCCATAGAATTTTAAGCTGCTTCTATTAATACTACTGCTCAAGATAATCAGATTTATAGATTTAGAACATTTACAAAAATTGTTCTCAAATATTAACGGTTATACTTTTTTGTGTACTCAAAAAGCGAGCACACTCCAGATTCGATCAGTATGTCCGTCCGGTCGTTAACACAATAACTCTTGAAAGCCTCATCCAATTGTCATGAAATTTTGTACACGGAATGATCTCATCAATATCTCCGTCGAGTTCCAAGATGAGAAGGATCCATCAAGAAATGGCTGAGTTATCGAAAAAATTGTCATTACTGACCAGACCATCCCTGAGCGGAGGGGGGTACAGGAATTTTTCAAAAAAAACGTTTTTCTCAGAATTATTCAAAACATATAAATCGACTCAGTTTTTGCAGTGCACATAACAATCGGATGCGAATCTGATGCTTCCTCATTTATTTTCTTTTAGATTCTAGTGTTAACGTTTAGCTTGAATCAAAAAGATTGCAAGTCAATGCGGTAAAGCATTACGAATAGTATACAATTAATGAGAGAACTAATTGTAGACCTACGCATAACCTTAAATTCTCTATGAAGCCCAATGCTTCTAATGAGTAACAATTTTAGTGTACGTGTTAGTTTTAATAAGTAAATTTGACTTTCAATTCACAATGACATGCTACGCAAACTAACAATATTATGAAAAAACATAAAAACAATCGATAATGTTAAGCCAGCTTCATATGATGAAAACTTTACATTGGTAAATAGCAAAACATCTGCCTTTATCAAATATAACATACATGACTCATAGAATGAAATCATGTTTCGAAAAATCCTTCGATTTATTGAATAAATAGAAAATGATTGGTTGTTTTATATAGAACCTACGTTTAAATACTAACTACTGTATTTATTTTTACTTTAAATATAATGCCTATGCTCATATGCTTTATAGTTAATATTACAGTTAATGTTTTTCTACAATTTATGAACAATTGTTCCTAAAACTAACAAATCTAGTAGTTCAATAAATAAAACAAAATTTCCTTTTACAATCTATGAAATTCTTTACTCGTCAAACGAGATTCTTTGAATGACACTGCATAATTCTTAATTAAAAATCTTTCAAGAATATTTCAAAAACAATCCTCGATTTATGTGAACGATTAACCTTTAGCTTCCATACCATTTGTCACATACCACCAATATAATATTCAGCAAGCATAGCTTTTCGGTTCGTTATTTTTCGTTCAAATGTTGTTTTCAATCAATTAACTATTTCGTTTATTTTTCAATTATATTTATATGATCTCTGTTGTAATACTTGTTACTGGTGTTTGAATATATCTATTTAAAAGTATTCAACTGAAAAGGATAATATTTGAAACAGATGTTTTCCTATAAAAAAAAATCTGACACTGAATTATCTGCTACTTATTAATTTTACAGTACACATATTATCCCAAGTTTATATTTCCTCATACTCTGATTTTATCATCAGAGTTACCAACGGCAGGTTAGTGCATATTTCTTTTTTGAAACAATGATATTCACCAAGGTTTTAATTAAATTCTTCGAGATGATCTCCTACTGCATCGCCCATTAGAACTAGGATGGTATTGAATTACAACACCTATTGTATATGTTTTATTCAAAATTAATCCTTCCGCAATCATTGGAGTAAATTCTACTTTTTCCGTTGTATCTAAATGTTGATATGATTTAGTAATTGAACAAGGAAATTAACATTTGTGAGAAACGATGAACTACCAATACGACTATGAAACACAACATAGTTTAATCATTACTTTGCGGTTCACTGACGTGTCCGTTAACTTAGATTTCTTTCGAATTTTTCTCTCTTAATGTATCCTTTCGTCCCAATATAATTTTCTCTGTGATTTCTTTCCCGCTGATGAAGAGCATGATCTGTCACATTGATATCTGCGTGTTCGATACGGTTGAAAAGTTTAAATGAAAAAAAACTTATGTATAGCTTTGAAAAGTTCAAAAAATAAGGCGTTTTCGATTACTAACAAGTTCAAATTTCATACTCCAATCATGGTATATACCAAAGAAAATATCTTTTATGAATTGTTTTTAACCAATTTACAATAAATATTTGAATCCGAAAAAAATTTTGAAAGAACCACAATTATTGCTTGAATATATGATTAATAATAAGAAAGAAACAAACAGCTCATTGTATAAATTTTCTTAATTTTTTATATTGATTTATATATTGAAGAAGAAACTTATTTGCTCTTGTTTCATCGGCATATCTCCCACTTAATCTCCAATGGCAACCTCACTTAGTTTATTGTCAAGTCTAAACTCGTAAATAATCCTTTGTTATTTTAACTCTAATAAATTATTTTTCAAGCGTGAAATATAATACGGAGAGTTTTTCTTTCAGCAGTTGATAATATTATGATCACTGTTTTGTTGAGATGATATTTTTTCGAGAAGTATCATTTAATTGTAAGGAGCAAAGATATAGATAAAAAAATTTGCAAAACTTTTTCGAATTCTACTAAAGCCGCTTGTAAATAAGCGCTATATTTTGGTTTGATGAGTAAATTTCTTCTTTTCCTTTATCTCTTACATAGGGCATACTAGCGTCAGAATCGAATGTGATGGGCGTATGACAAACTAAATGTTAATCAGAATGCCAAGCACATGTTCATGTGTTTTGTTCTTCTAGTTATTTTTCTAACTTGTGCTTGCAATCGAATGATACATTTTCATACAATAAATTAACATTTGCATCTGAAAATGATGTTGAATATGTTTTAAGTACAGTGACATCTGATATCAATATTCTATATGACTGATTTGATATTTTGTCCAATAAAAATCGAAGTCATACGTTGTGATTATCGTGCAATCGCATTTTATTGTTAATATTCGTTCGTATATTCAACTTTCTCTCATTTCGATATACATCTGAATGACCTAGAGAGAGAGAGAGACAGAGATTCTTTGCTTATCTTTATTCATCTGTCCATAAACTAAAGAGATTCATATAAATTGGCTAAATAAAAAAAAGAGAGAACTCTTCAAAAATCCGAAACTTATTTTGATTGATTGTTATTACTAAACGTATATAGTTCTCAAGCGCGATGACGATAATCCTTTTGTAAAGGTGAGACAGAATCAACATAGTGTCTAATATTCTTTTTTCTGTCTTTATAGTTTATATTCCTTCCTTTTGTTCGACTATCAAATACAGTTCACTCACTTTTTTTCTTAGCATTATTGACAACGAAATAAATTATACGAAAAATCATGGTTTCTTTCGAACCATACTCACCTGATCTCTTATGGATATTGATTATTGGCTTTATTATTGCATTTGTATTAGCCTTTGGCATTGGTGCTAATGATGTTGCTAACTCATTTGGTACTAGTGTTGGAAGTAAAGTATTAACATTGCGACAAGCATGTATTCTTGCAACAATATTTGAAATACTTGGATCAATATTAATTGGTAGAGAGAAAAAAGGCTAATATGTAATTTTTGTTCTTATACTATGACTTTATTATCTAGGAGCAAAAGTGTCCGACACGATACGGAAAGGTATTATAGATCCACTGTTGTTTGAAAATCCAAAGGAATTAATGCTTGGCCAAATTTCATCATTACTTGGTAAATTCGAAAATTTTTGTTGATTTTTAAAAACAAATTCTTCGGATAGGTTGTTGCATTTGGTTATTGGTTGCAACATTTTTTAATTTACCTGTCTCTGGTACACATAGTATTGTTGGTGCAACAGTTGGTTTTGCTCTTGTTGCTCATGGCTCTCGAGGTATAAGATGGATCGAATTTGCTAAAATTGGTATGTAGAAAAATAAAAACATTAATAAATCGGCAAAACAAAAGTCAATTCATTTTCTCAGGTGCCTCATGGTTTGTTTCACCCGCCCTAGCTGGTATTATATCAATTGCTGTTTTTATGCTTATACGAAAATTTATTCTTGAATCAGTAAAAACTGTTTTGGTATCTAAATAAAATATTCTATGTTTTTATTTCAAGACTGATCAATTACGAATTGGTCTTCGTTGGTTACCAGTTTTCTATTCTGTAACAATAATGATCAATGTCTTTTCAATTCTTCTCTCTGCACCACCACGTTAGTTTGATTATTTTCTTATCGTCCACATGTTTTTTCTAATTGATTTTAGTTCTATATTTTGATCGTATCCCATTGTGGGGAAAATTTATTACAACTATTCTTGTTGGTCTTGCTGTTGGTATTTCTGTTATGGTTTTCGTTAAACCACGTATGAGACATACTATTGAAGGTTTGATAGATTAGAATATATTAGAATGAAAAAAACATATGTTTCGTTTTTGATTGCTAGAAATCTTAAAAAAGAAACTTGATTTGGACAGTCGAGGAGGAAGCGGAGGAGAAAGAGATGGAGAAGAACAACCAAAATTAACAGGAACTGAAGGAAGATTTGAAACATATACCGGTAAATATTAAGCTTTTTTTTATTGATTAAAAATAAATTCTTATATGATTATTTTAGTCACTCGTCTTGAAAACGTGAATACAGTTGATAAAGAAACTCAAATTGATCATATATCAATGCTTAAAGAATATGATTTGATACGTTATCAACAGCAGCATCCCGATCAATTCCGTCCCTATGGTAAATTACGAAATCTCCCAAGACTATTTATATTAATTGTTTTATTTTTTCCAGTTGAAATGCAACGTATAAGAAAAGATTCTGAAACAATCTCCAGTCCGGGTGTAAGTGGTGCATTACGTGTACGCCGTGAGAGTGATCGTTATCGTAATGACCCTCTTGGCTTAGATTGTACAAATCCTAGTGTACAACAACGAACTGTTCCTAATCCACCGGTTATTCGTGAAGTAAAAATAAATTTCTTTATTATATTATCTATATAATGTTTTTCTTCATGCTTGTAAGAGAACAAAAATCTATCGTCTTCCACAATCTACAAATCCTGTTGGTTTACCAGGCACAATGTCTAATGAAAATAAAAGTTTGTTGTTAGCTGCTGGTAACTAGCAAGTTTGTTCATTTAATTGGTGACGGGTAGATATCTAAATATAATTTTAGTATTTATGCCCCGTAAGTTCAGCAAAACGGGTTAAAGCTAGACCATTGAAAAAGGAAGCATAAAAATATAAATGATTTTAATCATTTTGTTTTCATTTAATATCGCATGTGATTCATATAGGCATATTATATTTCAGAAAATTAAATAAGACATATATATATATATATATATACATATTTATTTTGCTGATGCTATAGCTCTAATTGGGTGCCTAGTTGTTTCATAATAATAAATAAAATACATATTTAGCAATATTTTTATATAATCTATTAGATGACGACAATGTATCGACAACGTCAGGTAATCAAAATAGTTCAACTGGAGATTTAGATGAAATAGAAGATAAAATGCCTGAAATATCAGAAAAAAAAGTTTGTTTAAAATCGATTGATCAGTTTAAAATTCAGATTTCTTTTTTTCAGAAAATAGTAGATACAAGCAATGATTCCATTGAAATTGCTGGAATTTTTAAATACTTACAGATTCTTACAGCTATATTTGGTGCTTTTGCCCATGGTGGAAATGATGTTAGGCATGTTTTTTTTTTGAAATACAAAATCAGAACTATTGAAATTCAGCTTCGTTTTTTCTTGCATGATTATTCTATTTCTATTTCTTATAGTAATGCAATTGGACCATTGATTGGTCTTTGGCTAATCTATGTTGATGGTTCTGTTGCGGCTCGATCAAATACTCCACTTTGGGTACTTTTCTATGGTGGCCTTGGAATATCTGTTGGTCTTTGGGTTTGGGGTCGTCGCGTTATTCGTACAATTGGTGAAGATTTGACAAAAATAACACCGTCAAGGTAATCGGCAGTTTATCTTTTTAATCTCGTTTAGTAATCAAAAATATTTTTCTGTTTTCAGCGGTTTTGTTATTGAAATATCAACGGCATTTACTGTACTTGTTGCATCTAATTTATCAATTCCAATCAGTACAACTCATTGTAAAGTTGGTAGTGTGGTAGCAATCGGTCGTTTTCGTTCAAAACAAAATGTTGACTGGTCATTGTTTCGGAATATAATTGTTGCATGGATTGTAACTGTGCCAGTCACGGGTGGCATATCTGCTGGCGTTATGGCTCTTCTTCGTCTTATATTTCTATGAGAAAAAAAGAAAACTTGTCAATCTTCATATTGACAATAACACTACAAACATATTTCATGTCTTACTCGTCTTTTTTTGTTCTTCAATTGAAGTTTTTTTTTTTAATACGATTTCGTTTCGTGCCGTTAATTGCAATTCGTTTTGAATAATGAACAGTTTAGTAATCTAGCTAATTAGATCTGTCAAAGTATTAGGTGAATTTGTCTTAACAACGAAATAAATTCTTTTAGATCAATTTTTTAATCTTTGAAGAATAGCTAATTGAAATGGCTCAAAATAAGGTAATACAATGTGAAGTGTACTCTAACAGTTGATTCGATGATTTGTTTAATAGGAAGCATTGGCTCTTGTTGTCGATATTGGTACTGGAATGTCTGAAGCAGCACCGGGGTATGATTCACCTTTACAAATAGCAAGTGATATTCTCCAAATGATTGTTCAACGAAAGGTATGTCGATTTTAGTCTAAAACGATTGATGACATCTTTTATCAGTCTATCTATCGCAAAGGATGATTTCAGTCAAACAGAACTCATTTAAAGTAGAGTTTTTGTGAGTAGTTTTTGCTTATTTTCTGCTTGCAAAAAAAATGCAACTTCTCACTTCTAACCTATTGCGATGTTGACTTCTTAATGAAAATAAGCATATCTAACTGGATACGGGTTCTAGAAAAAGCATCTTTTGATTAGTATATTTTGCTTTGTTTAACTGAAACTTTCTCTCAATTTTGGTTTATTATTATTTGTTTGATTAAATAGATGTTTCAAGAGAGCAAAGACGAATTAGCATTGATTCTCTTTGGTGCTGATGAATCAAATAATGATTTAGCTGATGAAGATAATTATCGAAATATAAATGTTGTGTTTCCACTCTCACCGGCTAATTGGCATTTATTTGAAGAAATACAAAAAATAAAACCGAGCAATAATCCAGCTGATTGTAAGTAACAAAAACAAAGCCGACTGATATATACATGGTTCCCGATTACTTTTCGAAGTGAGGGGGGCTAAATTTTGGCAGAAAGTAATTTTTCTGGCAGACAGTATACGTCAAAAAGAACATCCTTGATTTATAATATCATCATCTAGCATAGATGATCCAAGTTCATTTTTATTAAAAATAAGTAAAAGCAACATATGTATACGAAGAAATATTTCAAAAAGCTTTTCAAAACTCATCATCTTTCTGTTTCAATTGATCAGATTCAAAAAATAATGTTACATTTCGTGATTTTGCATGGCCTGGATTTTTTTATGAA